AATACTTTTTTTCGTTATAAGAAGATTCACATGTATACATGGGAAAGAGGTGATGATAGAAGCATGATAGATTTCGTAATTGTGGATGAAAGAATGAGGAGCGCAGTCGTAGATACAAGGGTTTACCGGGGGTCCAACGTAGGGACGGATCATTACTTGGTCTTATGTCGAATTAATGGTCTTTTCAAGCGTTGGCGGCATCGGACATCTGTATCTACCACTGCGTTACAGCGTATAAGAATAGAGAAGTTACAAGATGAAGATGTGATAGAGAAGTATAAATGTAGACTGAGAAAAAATATTAGATGTTTGAATGAGTTGTGTATGAATGATTTAGACTTGAATACTGTGTGGGATAATATTAAGAAAGGTTTGGTGGATACCGCCACCGAAGTATGCGGTGTAAGTAAGAGAACAAATGAAAGGAAAAGTAATACGTTATGGTGGGATGATGAGGTACGGGTGGAAGATGAATCAAAGAAGAAAGCATGGTTAGATTTACTAGCAACCAAAGCTGATAATTCTTCTGGTATGAATGATGAGATTGAAAGAAAAAAGGCAGAATTTAGACGTCTAAATAAGAGAGAAAAAGAAGTTGTTAAAAGGAAAAAGAAAGAAAGAACGGATAAGAATAATAGAAGGATATCTGATAATTTCCAGGCTAACATAAAAATGTTCTGGAAACTCGTAAGAACTGCCAGGGGAAATACAAAACAGCCTATAATAAATGCTATAAGAGACGAGAATGGATGTATTCTGAATGATGAAGTTTCGAATTTAAACACATGGAAGGAATACTTTGAAAGCGTGTTTATGAGTGAAGAGTCGTATGAATTAAATGAACTAGAAATTCCGAAAGAAGTGGAAAGCGGTATGGAGATAAGTGTAGATGAAATAATGAAAGCAATGAAAAGCATGAAAGCAGGTAAGGCAGCTGGATATGATAGAGTATCACTCAAGATGCTAAGGGCTGGAGAGGGAGTGGTGGCAGGCCTGCTGTACACCTTGTTTAATTTATGTTGGGAATTAAAACGGGTACCGGATGACTGGTGTAAAGCAGTTATAGTACCAATATATAAAGGAAAAGGGTCACAGCAGGACTGCAAAAACTACCGCGGTATCAGCTTGCTTAGTATTGTGGGTAAACTGTATGCTAAGGTGTTAATTGAAAGAGTTATGAAAGAAACTGATGGAAAAATTTGGGATGTGCAAGCGGGTTTTAGAAAGGGAATGGGGTGTACAGATCAAGTCTTTTCCATGCGCATGATAGCGGAGAAGTTTTTGGCCAAAAACCAGAAAGTTTTTTGTGCGTTCATGGACTTGGAAAAGGCTTATGACAGAGTGGACAGGAATGTGTTATGGCAAACACTGAACTCATATGGGTTGAGCGCTGGTTTGATACAGGCATTAAGGTCTCTTTATAGGGACTCTAGTGCTTGTATCAGGATCAATGGGGTCTACTCGGACTGGTTTGGCATCCAAAAAGGTGTCAGACAGGGCTGTGTGGCTTCCCCTTGGCTGTTCAACCTATTTATGGACCGGTGTTTGCAAACTTTGAAAGATGAAGAATGTGGGTTAAGAATGGGCGAGTTAACCGTCAAATGCCTTTTGTATGCCGATGATCAAGTCATACTTGCGTCATCGGCGGCAGAGTTGCAAATGATGGTTACATTAATGAACTGGGAATTAAAAGAAAGGGGAATGAAAGTGAATGCAAGTAAGACGAAAGTGATGGTTTTTGAAAGAGAAGAAAGCAAAACGGTATGTGAAATAAGAATAGAAGGAGAGTTGATTGAGCAAGTGGATGAGTTTGTGTATTTGGGATGTGTATTTAGCAGGGATGGTAGATATGATAGGGATATAGAACGACGAGTAAATGCAGGGAATAGAGTGAATGGGGCACTACACTCTATTATGAAGAACCAGAATTTGTCAAAACAGGCACGTATGGTAATTCATAATGCTGTGTTAGTCCCTACTTTAATGTATGGTAGTGAAAGCTGGGTGTGGCAGAAGAAGCACGAAAGTAGAATAAATGCTGTAGAAATGCGGTCTTTAAGGAATATGCTAGGGTGTAATCTGAACGACAGGGTGAGAAATTGCGTAATAAGAGATAAATGTGGTATGCAAGATGATGTTGTGACCAGGATTAAGAAAGGAATGCTTCGGTGGTTTGGTCACGTAGAAAGAATGAATGAGGAAAGAGTGACAAAGCAAATTTATATGGCAGATGTGAATGGCCGAGTCGGGAAGAGACGCCCTAGGAAAAAGTTTATCGACCAAATTTGCGATATTTTGAAAATGGGCCACGTTACCCTTAACCGACGAGCATGTATGCGTAGATATATGGATGTAAAGGAGGCGAAAGAGGTATGTCAGGATCGTGCCAAATGGAAGTCCGTAGTCTCTGCCTACCCCTCTGGGTGACAGGCGTGAGTGTTTATGTATGTATTTATGTATGTATTTTCATGTATAATTATATATTTATACATTCCAACCAGATGAGAAAACTATATAGATACCCCACATAATAATTAAATGTAATGACTGTACAGTTAGAGACTTCCTCGAGCAGTGTATGGGGCAGTGGAGTACGATCCTTTGTCATCTGGGCGAGCAGATGACGGCTGCGGAGAACCACATAAGGATAAGAAGGGGTATCTTCCAGGGCGATTGTCTGAGTCCAATCTGGTTCTGCCTCTCTCTTAACCCTCTCAGTACCTTACTGGAGGGCTCCGGGTGGGGATTTCAGCTACGGAAAGGAGGGACAAAAGTGACCCACCTTATCTATATGGATCACCTCAAGTTATTCGCCTCCAGTCGCTCCCATCTTATGGAACTGCTAAACATCACTTGTGAATTTAGCAGTTCCATTGGAATGGAGCTGGGGACGGATAAGTGTGCGGTCCTCCATGTTGAAAGGGGAAGGGTTGCTAACTCTGAGGGCATAAACATGTCTATGCCCGTCAACTTAAGGACCCTTTCCGAGGCTGAAACATACCGATACTTGGGTATGTCACAGAACATCGGTATCGATGAGGCTGGTATGAAACAGTCAGTTTGCGACGTGTTTTATGCACGTTTGACCAAAGTGCTTAACAGCCTTTTGTCCGGTGTGAATAAGTCACACGCATATAACGGCTGGGTCATGCCTGTCCTCATGTATACCTTTGGCATACTCAGGTGGACTCAGACTGAGCTTAACGCCCTGGATAGAAAAGTCCGCACTACCATGACGTCCCATAGGATGCATCATCCGAGATCGTCGGTAATGAGGCTGTACTTGCCGCGAAAGTATGGTGGGCGTGGCTTTCTGAGCGCGCTCAACATGCATAATCGCGAAGTGTGCAGTCTCCGTCAATTCTTCTTGGCGAGATCGGATGATCCATTCTATAATGACGTCATTTCTAGTGATAAAGGGCTTACCCCTCTATCCTTAGCCAACGAGCAATGGCAGTACCCAGCAGTGCTTAGCATTTCCGACCGGGAGACCGTATGGAAGGAGAAAGAGCTCCACGGGAGGTACTACAAGGCTCTACATGAGCCCTTCGTAGATACAGTCGCCTCCCTCAACTCCCTACGTTTCGGTGACCTCTTCGGTGAAACCGAGGGTTTTGTCTGTGCAATACAGGATCAGGTTGTTAAGACCAACAACTATCGGAGATATATCCTAAAGGATGGCACCGCCGACGTCTGTCGAGCTTGTTGCCATCCCGGGGAGTCACTCAGGCATGTCATCTCCGGTTGTTCGGCGCTTTCTAACTCTGAGTACTTGCACAGGCACAACCTAGTAGCCAGAATTCTACACCAGGAGCTCGCTCTGAAATACGGATATTGCCGTATTACAAGTACTTGCCGGAAGCCGTGCTCGAAAATGACCGCGCCCGGCTCTACTGGGACCGGGCCATCATCACAGACAGGACTATTCTTGCGAATAAGCCTGATATTGTGCTGATGGACCGGGCACGGTCAAGGATATTTTTGGTCGATATTACCATCCCGTATGACGAGAACCTCGTGAGAGCCGAAACAGATAAGCAATCAAAATATCTGGACCTGGCTCACGAGGTGACCGACATGTGGGGTGGTCTGCCGACCGAAATTATTCCTGTAGTCGTCTCTGCGAATGGGCTAATCCGAGTTAGCCTCTCTGGTCATCTGAGGCAACTGGGACTCCGTGACGGACCGCTCCGGGCTCAAATGCAGAAGGCGGTGCTCCTTGATACTGCCCGCATCGTCCGTCGGTTTCTTTCCCTTTCACCCTAACCCTTGGCCGTTTGGTCTCCCCTGCCGAGGGCTTCCATCTGGTTGGGCTTTTATTTATTTATGTATTTTCGTATTTATTTTATTTTATTGATATTTATGTATATTTATCTTTTCATTTTCGTTTATAATTATTTATTTATACATCCCAAGCAGATGAGAAAACTATATAGATACCCCACACATAATAATAATAATAATAATAATGAGGCGTAGGGAAGTGACGACCCCATCGCCCGCTGATATAACGGTTATGTGACAAAACCGCTACGTCGGCGCAGTCAGTCAGCACCTTGCCAAGAGGTGTTAGTGCCGTGCCTCGGCAAAAATTAAAGGTGCCAAGGCCCACTTGTGCACATGGCCTAACCATGAAACGGCGCCGGGTCTGGGCGTCTCCCGCTAAATGACGCCCTGTATGGATGATGGAACAAAGAAGATTGCGCAAAGGGCCGCTGCCTGGAGGTCACCAGGGCGCGTCTGGAGCTGGCGCTGGACGCGACAGCATGCGAACCGCCAGCCGAGCGCGAGGTGCTGCACGACCACCCAGCAGCCCCTCGCATCCATCATCCCCAACAGCTTGCTTGGTGTCGGCAGGGTCTTCGCAGACCCAGCAATCGGCACCCGCTACTGATGGAGTACGCCGCATGCGATGGACCATCAATATGAATACAAACGCATTGCGGGCGTATTTTAGGGCGAAAGGGGGAGAAATTGGAGGTTTCGCGTATCGGGCTAGGATGCATCGTCTTTTTGCTGAGCTGGAGCCATCTATTACTATCACCGAGCAAAACCTGGCAGACCGAGTTCGGTATATCTTACGCTCAAATATATTTGATGGCGCCGAACTCGAACGGCTACGACGTGAGGCTGTTCCCTCATCAAATGAAAACGCTACGACTGGGGGTGTGGTGCCACAAGTTGCAGAACAACCCGCACATGTGGATGCCGCCGTGAATACCCCCGTGGTTGCTGATTCAAATGATGATGGAACATTCACCCAGGAACTAGAAATAGAGCAAATGAGGAGTACATTGGAAGAGGCGATTATGGAAACGCGCAATACGCCTCTCGAAAATCGACCGCGACTTCCCCGCATATCCCTAAGCAAGCGGAATCGGGGTGTCGTGAGGGCTCTGAACCCAATGCTGGTGACCTATTTGGAAGCCAGCCGGGACCTTTGCAAAACGGACTCAATTCTCTTTGGCGCCGCACTGGCAGTCTGCCGTATTATAGGCGCCAAACTTTCCACGGCTGGACGCACTACTGGACAAAGTGGTGCTATCCCAGCCTGGAGAACAAGAATTGAAGAACGTATCGCAAAGGCTAGGGCCCTCATCGGCAGACTGATATGCTTCAGGTCAGGCAATACCAGGCCAAGGATTGTGCGCACCGTCAGGATGGCATTTGCTGGGACAAATGTTAGTTTGTCCCAGCCGGATATAATGCAAAAACTGACGGAGCGCATAGACGACCTGAAGCAGAGAATCGCTGCTTGGGGAAAGCGAATTCGGCGATATACCGAGAGGTCGACACGGTTCAACCAGAATCGTCTCTTCCAGAGTGATCAGATGAGGCTCTATAAATCATTGGAGCGACCAATGGTAAGTGGAACGGGCCCAGTACCGAATCAGGCCGACACGGTCTCATTCTGGCGCAGCCTGTGGTCAGAGCCCGTAAACCACAACGAGGGCCCTTGGACGAAAGTTGTGGCGAGTCAGTGTGCGGGTATTACGCCCATGGACCCCGTCACCATAACGCCGGATGACGTAGCTGAGGCGGTCCGTAGGGCCCCGAACTGGAAAAGTCCGGGACTCGACAGGCTGCATCACTACTGGCTGAAGGGGTTCGTGGTGTGTCACAATGTGCTCGTCCGACAGTTTCAAGAGGTTCTCAACCAGAGGTCGCTCCCGAGCCTCTTCACTACTGGGATCACCCATTTGGTTCCTAAAGGCCAGGGTACCACAGACCCGAGCAAATACCGCCCCATCACATGTCTACCGGCCATATACAAGACACTAACATCCATTTTGAGCGCGAGAATCACTCGTCACCTGGACTCAAATCAGGTGATGTCGCGCGCTGAAAATGGATGTCGGGGCGGCGGTCGTGGAACCAAGGAACCACTCCTCATTGACGCGGTCATTGGCAAAGTGGTGAAACGCAACCGTCGAAACTTCTCCGCCGCCTGGATAGACTACAGAAAGGCATTCGACTCGGTGCCCCATACATGGCTAAAGAGAGTCCTCGAACTGTACAAGATTGACTGTACAGTTAGAGACTTCCTCGAGCAGTGTATAGGGCAGTGAAGTACGTACCTTTGTCATCTGGGCGAGCGGATGATGGCTGCGGAGAACCACATAAGGATAAGAAGCGGTATCTTCCAGGGCGATTGTCTGAGTCCAATCTGGTTCTGCCTCTCTCTGAACCCTCTCAGTACCTTACTGGAGGGCTCTGGGAGAGGATTTCAGCTACGGAAATGAGGGACAAAAGTGACCCACCTTTTCTATATGGATGACCTCAAGTTATTCGCCTCCAATCACTCCCATCTTATGGAATTGCTAAACATCACTAGTGAATTTAGCAATTCCATTGGAATGGAGCTGGGGACGGATAAGTTCCGAGGCTGAAACATACCGATACCTGGGTATGTCACAGAACATCGGTATCGATGAGGCTGGTATGAAACAATCAGTTTGCGACGTGTTTTATGCACGCTTGACCAAAGTGCTTAACAGCCTTTTGTCCGGTGTGAATAAGACACAAGCATATAACGGCTGGCTCATGCCTGTCCTCATGTATACCTTTGGCATACTCAGGTGGACTCAGACTGAACTTAACGCCCTGGATAGAAAAGTCCGCACTACCATGACGTCCCACAGGATGCACCATCCGAGATCTTCGGTAATGAGGCTGTACTTGCCGCGAAAGCATGGTGGGCGTGGCTTCTTGAGCGCGCTCACCATGCATAATCGCGAAGTGTGCAACAGATAAGCAAACAAAATATCTGGACCTGGCTCACGAGGTGACCGACATGTGGGGTGGTCTGTCGACCGAAATTATTCCTGTAGTCGTCTCTGCAAACGGGCTAATCCCAGTCAGCCTCTCGGGTCATCTGAGGCGGCTGGGACTACGTGGCGGACCGCTCCAGGCTCAAATGCAGAAGGCGGTGCTCCTCGATACCGCCCGCATCGTCCGCCGGTTTCTTTCCCTTTCCCCCTAACCCTCGGCCGTTTGGTCTCCCCTGCCGAGGGCTTCCATCTGGTTGGGCTTTTATTTATTTATGTATTTTTTTTATTAATTTATTTTATTGATATTTATGTATATTTATCTTTTCATTTTCGTTTATAATTATATATTTATACATCCCAACCAGATGAGAAAACTATATAGATACCCCACATAATAATAATAATAATAATAATAATAAATGGCGTAGGGAAGTGACGACCCCATCGCCCGTTGACGTGACGGTTATGTGACAAAACCGCTACGTCCGCGCAGTCAGTCAGCACCTTGCCAAGAGGTGTGAGCGCCGTGCCTCGGCAAAAATTGATGGTGCAATGGCCCGCTTGTGCATATGGCCTCACCATGAAACGACGCCGGGTCTGGGCGTCTCCCGTTAAATGACGCCCTGTATGGATGATGGAACATAGAAGATTGCGCAAAGGGCCGCTGCCTGGAGGTCGTCAGGGCGCGTCTGGAGCTGGCGCTGGACGCGACAGCATGCGAACCGCCAGCCGAGCGCGAGGTGCTGCACGACCACCCAGCAGCCCCTCGCATCCATCACCCCCACCAGCTTGCTTGGTGCCGGCAGGGTCTTCGCAGTCCCAGCAATCGGCACCCGCCACTGGTGGAGTACGCCGCATGCGATGGACCATCAATATGAATTCAAACGCATTGCGGGCGTATTTTAGGGCGAAAGGGGGAGAAATTGGAGGTTTCGCGTATCGGGCTAGGATGCATCGTCTTTTTACTGAGCTGGAGCCATCTATTACTGTCACCGAGCAAAACCTGGCAGACCGAGTTCGGTATATCTTACGCTCAAATATATTTGATGGCGCCGAACTCGAACGGCTACGACGTGAGGCTGTTCCCTCATCAAATGAAAACGCTACGACTGAGGGTGCGGTGCCACAAGTTGCAGAACAACCCGCACACGTGGATGCCGCCGAGAATACCCCAGTGGTTGCTGATTCAAATGATGATGGAACATTCACCCAGGAACTAGAAATAGAGCAAATGAGGAGTACATTGGAAGAGGCGATTATGGAAACGCGCAGTACGCCTCTCGAAAATCGACCGCGACTTCCCCGCATAGCCCTCAGCAAGCGGAATCGGGCTATCGTGAGGGCTCTGAACCCAATGCTGGTGACCTATTTGGAAGCCAGCCGGGACCTTTGCGAGACGGACTCAATTCTCTTTGGCGCCGCACTGGCAGTCTGCCGTATTATAGGCGCCAAACTTTCCACGGCTGGACGCACTACTGGACAAAGTAGTGCTATCCCAGCCTGGAGAACAAGAATTGAAGAACGTATCGCAAAGGCTAGGGCCCTCATCGGCAGACTGATATGCTTCAGGTCAGGCAATACCAGGCCAAGGATTGTGCGCACCGTCAGGATGGCGTTTGCTGGGACAAATGTTAGTTTGTCCCAGCCGGATATAATGCAAAAACTGGCGGAGCGCATAGACGACCTGAAGCAGAGAATCGCTGCTTGGGGAAAGCGAATTCGGCGATATACCGAGAGGTCGACACGGTTCAACCAGAATCGTCTCTTCCAGAGTGATCAGAAGAGGCTCTATAAATCATTGGAGCGACCAATGGTAAGTGGAACGGGCCCAGTACCGAATCAGGCCGACACGGTCGCATTCTGGCGCAGCCTGTGGTCAGAGCCCGTAAACCACAACGAGGGCCCTTGGACGGAAGTTGTGGCGAGTCAGTGTGCGGGTATTACGCCCATGGACCCCGTCACCATAACGCCGGATGACGTAGCTGAGGCGGTCCGTAGGGCCCCGAACTGGAAAAGTCCGGGACTCGACGGGCTGCATCACTACTGGCTGAAGGGGTTCGTGGTGTGTCACACTGTGCTCGCCCGACAGTTTCAAGAGGTTCTCAACCAGAAGTCGCTCCCGAGCCTCTTCACTACTGGGATCACCCATTTGGTTCCTAAAGGCCAGGGTACCACAGACCCGAGCAAATACCGCCCTATCACATGTCTACCGACCATATATAAGACACTAACATCCATTTTGAGCACGAGAATCACTCGTCACCTGGACTCAAATCAGGTGATGTCGCGCGCTCAAAATGGATGTCGGGGCGGCGGTCGTGGAACCAAGGAACCACTCCTCATTGACGCGGTCATTGGCAAAGTGGTGAAACGCAACCGTCGGAACTTCTCCGCCGCCTGGATAGACTACAGAAAGGCATTCGACTCGGTGCCCCATACATGGCTAAAGAGAGTCCTCGAGCTGTACAAGATAGACTGTACAGTTAGAGACTTCCTCGAGCAGTGTATGGGGCAGTGGAGTACGATCCTTTGTCATCTGGGCGAGCGGATGATGGCTGCGGAGAACCACATAAGGATAAGAAGGGGTATCTTCCAGGGCGATTGTCTGAGTCCAATCTGGTTCTGCCTCTCTCTGAACCCTCTCAGTACCTTACTGGAGGGCTCCGGGAGGGGATTTCAGCTACGGAAAGGAGGGACAAAAGTGACCCACCTTTTCTATATGGATGACCTCAAGTTATTCGCCTCCAGTCGCTCCCATCTTATGGAACTGCTAAACATCACTTGTGAATTTAGCAATTCCATTGGAATGGAGCTGGGGACGGATAAGTGTGCGGTCCTCCATGTCGAAAGGGGTAGGGTTGCTAACTCTGAGGGCATAGACTTATCTATACCCGTCAACATGGACCCTTTCCGAGGCTGAAACATACGGATACCTGGGTATGTCACAGAACATTGGTATCGATGAGGCTGGTATGAAACAGTCAGTTTGCGACGTGTTTTATGCACGCTTGACCAAAGTGCTTAACAGCCTTTTGTCCGGTGTGAATAAGACACAAGCATATAACGGCTGGGTCATACCTGTCCTCATGTATACCTTTGGCATACTCAGGTGGACTCAGACTGAACTTAACGCCCTGGATAGAAAAGTCCGCACTACCATGACGTCCCACAGGATGCATCATCCGAGATCGTCGGTAATGAGGCTGTACTTGCCGCGAAAGCATGGTGGGCGTGGCTTCTTGAGCGCGCTCACCATGCATAATCGCGAAGTGTGCAGCCTCCGTAATTACTTCCTGGCGAGATCGGATGATCCATTCTATAAGGACGTCATTTCTTGTGATAAAGGGCTTACCCCTCTATCCTTAGCCAACGAGCAATGGCAAGACCCGGCAGTGCAGACAATTTCCGACCGGGAGACCGTATGGAAGGAGAAGGAGCTCCACGGGAGGTTCTACAAGTCTCTACATGGGCCTTTCGTAGACACAGTAACCTCTCTCCACTGGCTACGCTTTGGTGACCTCTTCGGGGAAACAGAGGGTTTTGTCTGTGCAATACAGGATCAGGTTATTAAGACCAACAACTATCGGAGATACATCCTAAAGGATGGCACCATCGACATCTGTCGAGCTTGTCGCCATCCCGGTGAGTCACTTAGGCATGTCATCTCCGGTTGTTCGGCGCTTTCTAACTCTGAGTACTTGCACAGGCACAACCTAGTAGCCAGAATTCTACACCAGGAGCTCGCTCTGAAATACGGTTTCGTGGATCGGAAGTTGCCGTATTACAAGTACTTGCCGGAAGCCGTGCTCGAAAATGATCGCGCCAGGCTCTATTGGGACCGGGCCATCATCACAGACAGGACTATTCTTGCGAATAAGCCTGATATTGTGCTGATGGACCGGGCACAGTCAAGGATATTTTTGGTCGACATTACCATTCCGTATGACGAGAACCTCGTGAAAGCCGAAACAGATAAGCAAACAAAATATCTGGACCTGGCTCACGAGGTGACGAGGGGTGGTCTGCCGACCGAAATTATTCCTGTAGTCGTCTCTGCAAACGGGCTAATCCCAGTCAGCCTCTCGGATCATCTGAGGCGGCTGGGACTACGTGGCGGACCGCTCCAGGCTCAAATGCAGAAGGCGGTGCTCCTCGATACCGCCCGCATCGTCCGCCGGTTTCTTTCCCTTTCCCCCTAACCCTCGGCCGTTTGGTCTCCCCTGCCGAGGGCTTCCATCTGGTTGGGCTTTTATTTATTTATGTATTTTCGTATTTATTTTATTTTATTGATATTTGATGTATGTTATCTTTTCATTTTCGTTTATAGTTATATATTTATACATCCCAACCAGATGAGAAAACTATATAGATACCCCACACATAATAATAATAATAATAATAATCAATAACGCGGTCCCCGGGCCCCCCAAGGGAGTGAACCTTGTCGCGGTGGGGGGGCTTAAAGAGAGCAGACACTAGTACTAGATCTGAAGATCTTGATCTAATACCCCAAGCGGGAGATACCAAACATTTAATACCAATAACATCTGGCCAACTCTCTCTCTCTGAACTAATCATTCCCAACACAAACCCACTAATGGAGCACAGTAAAAAAGATGTATAATTTACGGCCGCTGCCCGGGGGTCGCCGGGGCGCACCTGGAGCCGGTGCTGGGTGCTACAGTTCGCGGGACACCGGTGGCGAGACGCTGAGCAGGCGGGCGTCCGTCACACAATATGCTACAGCCGGGCGCCGTGAGTTGAACAAGCGGGCTTGCGGCGTTGATGCTACAGCTGAATCTTCAAGCGATGATACCACACCAACAACATCATCTGTCGATTTCAATCCCTCCGAGTATCTGACAAGTGAAACATCCAACTTGTCTTCACCAAATAGGACCGACAGTGTTGTGCAAGATGTCATTAATGACTCTGAGCTTGCACCCACTAGCGGCGTCCCTAAAACGCGCAGACGATGGACACATGAAATGAATGTATTTATACTGCGCACTTATCTTCAGCTAACTTTCCTTGATACTGATACCAAAAATTACCTTGAACCACTCATCAGAAATTTGTAGAGAAATACCCAAATATGCTAGTAAGCCGTCAAAGAGTAGGAGACCAACGTAGAGCTATAGTCCGCAATAAACTGATATCACAAAAAATTATAGATCAGATTTATAAAGAAGTAAGAGAAGAGTTAAATCATCATGCTAGACTCCCAACCACTCATGAAACACAACAAGAAATTTTAGAAACACATAACACACAAGCGCGAACTAAAATGAGATGGACAAAGGAACAAAATGAGACTTTAATGAGACTGTATTACCAGATAACTCAACTAAATACAAATAGAACTTCTTATAGAAAACAATTACATGAAGCTTTCGTTAATGCATTCCCAACACTTGCTCATTTAAATGAACAGCGAATAGCTGACCAAAGAAGAGCAATAGTAAATAATAAATACATCAGTGACGATAAATTAAATGAAATAAAACAACAAGTAAATAAACAACTATCAATAAATCTGAATAATTCAAGTGACGCAAATACAATACCTCATACAATTCAAGAAAATACACAAGGCGCTAACAATACTGACATTCCCTTTATAAATAGCATTGAAGTCTCTTTACTTAGTCTATCACAACCTGAGAGAGATCCCTTAATAGACGAAACTTTTCAGCAAGCATTATTACATTTTAAAGACACTGACCCCACAAGCAGAGTCTACATCCCTAAACAAAAGCCATCTAAAAAACTTGCAATAATAGTTCATTATCTTAATGAAAAAACTCTTCCCGAAACTATAAATACAGAAACGGACTTTATTACATTACAAACTGCAATATATTGCGCTGCTTGGACAGCAGCTAAGGTAAACGGGGCAAAATTATCGTACGAATCTCAAAAAAAATCTTACCAAGCTAAAGACGATTATAAACCACATTGGCAAAAACGGCTAGAAAGGAGACTAGGTGAGTTGCGAACAAAAATTGGCAGAGTAACACAATACATTAACGGAATTAGATCAAAACATCTAGAAAGACATATTAAAAACATAGTACAACAGTACAAAACTCATTCAGTACATGAGGAACAAAATAAACATCTCACACACACACTTGACACACTCAAACAAAAACTTGCAGTCATCTCAGGTCGGTTACGTAGATACAAAGCATGCACGTTAAGAAAACAACAAAATAATCAATTCCAGAACAATGAAAAACAATTTTATCGAAACATAAAACAAACAACAGCTAACGTACAAAAAAGAAACTGGCTAGGTGACGGCCCTGATCCAGAGGACATGCGAAAGTTTTGGGCAGAAATCTGGGAAAGACCTGTTGAACATAATACTCATGCCAACTGGATACAAACCGAAACTAGAAATAGCAATTTAAACATTCAAGAAATGTCTTTTGAGCATATCCCAATAGAAACATTTAAAAAGGTAATTAATAAGTTGCATAATTGGAAAGCACCTGGATCAGATTTTATTCACAATTACTGGTATAAAAAATTTACAAGCATTCATAGTTACCTTTATAATCATCTTAATGAATTTATAGTAAACCCTTTAACAATGCCAGCTTACATGACAGTCGGAATTACGTACATGATACCAAAAGATCATAATGATCATAATAACCCTGCAAAATACAGGCCTATAACATGTTTGCAAACTGTATATAAAATCCTTACATCATGCGTATCTGAACTTATATATAAACACATTAATGACAATAGTATACTGGCCGAACAACAGAAGGGATGTCGAAAATTCAGTCAAGGCTGCAAGGAACAATTAATCATAGACTCTGTTATACTGAAACAAGTTCAGAAAGAGAAGTCCGACTTGTTTTCCATGTACATTGATTACAAAAAAGCTTATGATTCAGTCCCCCATTCGTGGCTAATAGAAGTCCTGAAGATGTACAAAATACATCCAAAACTAATCATTTTACTAACATCATTGATGAGTCTCTGGAAAACACGATTAATACTCACGACTCCGACTAAAATGATAGAGACCAATCCAATAAAAATACAGAGAGGAATATTCCAAGGTGATGCACTGAGCCCATTGTGGTTCTGTCTTGCTATAAATCCCCTATCTAAGTTATTAAATTCATCTGCAGTAGGTTACCCCTTACATTATACTGATAACAATAACATTCGCATAAATATTAACCATCTACTTTACATGGATGACATAAAACTTTATGCTGATACGGAAAATCACTTAAATCAATTAGCTTACCTTACGGAACAATTCACAAATGACATAAAAATGGAATTTGGAATAGATAAATGCAAAATAAACTCGATAACAGCAGGACATAACTATCAACACCATTTTACTTTGGAAACTGGAGATAAGATAGAACCACTAGATGAAAATGAGGCATATAAGTATCTAGGTTACAACCAGTCACGACAAATACACTATAAATATACTAAAGAAAAATTGAAACAACAGTTCCGACATCGAATCAACACAATACTAAAGACACAATTAAACGCTAGAAATACAATAAAGGCCATCAATACTTTTGCTGTACCAGTACTCACTTATTCCTTCGGTATTATCAATTGGACAAAGTCTGATTTAAAAGCTCTACAACGGATTATAAACACAACACTGGCCAAATTTCGCAAACATCATCCAAGGTCTTGCTTACAGAGACTGACACTGCCAAGAAAAGAAGGTGGCAGGGGAATAATCGATATATTAAACCTACATAACAAGCAAATTACGACCCTCAGACAATACTTCTTCAACAAATCAGAATCTTCCACATTCTACAAGGTTATAGTACAAAATGATAGTAAACTAACACCCTTGAACTTAAAAGAAAACACTACACAAAACTCTGAAAAACTGACCGACGACAAAACAAAAATCACCGAGTGGGCTGATAAGTCTCTACATGGAAGACATCGACATGATATAAGCCAAAATAATGTCGACAAAGAAGCATCGAACGCATGGCTGATTCATGGCGAACTTTTCCCAGAGACTGAAGGCTTCATGATTGCTATACAGGATCAAGTAATAGAGACCAGGAACTACCAAAAGCATATTATAAAAATCTTAACTTCTGATACGTGCAGAAAATGCAACAATTGTCCAGGAACTATTCAACACATCACAGGTGCGTGTAAAGCAATAGCCCAAACAGATTACAAACACAGACATGATCAAGTTGCAAATATTATTCATCAAAAACTAGCCCACCAACATAACCTAATAAACTCTATTGAACCCTATTATATAATGCAACCCAGAAAGCGTATTAGAAAACCCCAAAACGAAGATATACTTTGACCGCGCTATCCTCACAGATCGGACCATTCACTGTAACAGACCAGATATTACATTGATAAATAAAACTAACAAAACCGGATACCTTATAGATATAGCAGTCCCTAATACGCACAATCTACAAACTACAATAGCTGAAAAACTCTCTAAATATGCAGAACTTAAAGATGAAATAACTCGACTCTGGCATCTTCAAAAAGTAATTATAGTGCCCATTGTCCTATCGACAACCGGCGTAATACCGAAGCAATTACACCAATCTGTAAAAACTTTAAATTTACCATCCAATACATACAAACTTTTACAGAAAGCTGTAATACTGAATACATGCAGAATAGTTAGGAAGTTCCTGCAAACTGAAGAACAAACCATACCTCCTATACTTAGACAAATTGCCTCACAACCTAACACACAGGTAACTGAATAAGGTAGTTCACAGGATAGCACCAAATCCAGCACTAATATACACTTGGCTTAGGCCCGTGCTATTAGTAAACCGGTAAAAGGTAAAAGCCGAGATATGAAAGCAAACAAAATAATAATAATAATAATAATAATACATACAAACTTTTACAGAAAGCTGTAATACTGAATACATGCAGAATAGTTAGGAAGTTCCTGCAAACTGAAGAACAAACCATACCTACTATACTTAGACAAATTGCCTCACAACCTAACACACAGGTAACTGAATAAGGTAGTTCACAGGATAGCACCAAATCCAGCACTAATATACACCTGGCTTAGGCCCGTGCTATTAGTAAACCGGTAAAAGGTAAAAGCCGAGATATGAAAGCAAACAAAATAATAATAATAATAATTATTATTATTATTATTATGTGGGGTATCTATATAGTTATTTGGCGCCCATAAATGGATGATGGTACAAAGAGGAACGCGCATAGGGCCGCTGCCTGGGGGTCGTCGGGGCGCGTCTGGAGCTGGCGCTGGACGCGGCAGCATGCGGGCCGCCAGCCGAGCGCGAGGAGCTGTACGATCACCTAGCAGCCCTCCGCATTCATCATCCCCACCAGAAGGCTTGGTGTCGGCTGGGTCTTCTCGGACTCAGCAAGCGGCACCCGCCGCTGGTGGAGCACGTCGCATGCGTTGGTCACAAACAATGAACGCAAACGCACTGCGGGCGTACTTTAGGGCAAAAAGGGGAAGAAACCGGATGTTTGGCATATCGGGCTCGGATGCATCGCTTTTTTGCAGAGCTGGAGCCATCTCTATCCGTCACTGAGCAAAACCTGGCAGACCGAGTTCGGTACATCCTGCGCTCCAACATATTTGGTGACGCCGAACTCGAACGACTACGACGTGAGGCTGTTCTCTCATCGGATGGAAATGCTACGGCTGGGAATGCGGCGCCACTAATTGCGCAGCAAACTGCAAATGTGGACGCTGCCGTCAATATTCCATTTGTGGTTGATTCAGACGATGATGGAATAGTCCCCCACGAACTAGAGAAAATGAGGAGCATATTGGAAGAGTCGATGCTGGAAACGCGCAGCATGCCTCTCGAAAATCGACCGCGACTTCCCCCGCATACCCCTTAGCAAGCGAAATCGGGCTGTCGTGCGGGCTCTTAACCCAATGCTGGTGACCTATTTGGAAGCCAGCCGGGACCTTTGCGAGACGGACTCAATTCTTTTCGGCGCCGCACTGGCAGTATACCGTATTATTGGCGCCAAACTTCCCATGGCTGGACGTGCTACTCAACAAGGTAGTGCCATCCCAGCCTGGAGAAAAAGAATCGAGGACCGTATCGCAAAGGCAAGGGCCCTTATCGGCAGACTGACAAGCTTCAGGTCGGGTAATATTAGACCGAGAGTTGTGCGCACCGTTAGAATGGCGTTTGCTGGGACAAATATTAGTTTGTCCCAGCCGGATATCACGCAGAAACTAACGGAGCGCATAGATGACCTGAAGCAAAAAATCGCTGCTTGGGGGAAGCGGATTCGACGATTTAACGAGAGGTCAAGGCGGTTCAACCAGAATCGTCTCTTCCAGAGTGATCAGAAGAGGCTCTATAAATCATTGGAGCGACCAGAGGTATGTGGAGCGGGCCCAGGACCGGATCAGGCTGACACTGTCGCATTTTGGCGTGGCCTGTGGTCAGAGCCCGTAAACCACAGCGAGGGCCCTTGGATGGAAGTTGTGGCGAGCCAGAGTGCAAGTGTTACGCCTATGGACCCCGTCACCGTAACGCCTGAAGACGTGGCTGAGGCGGTCCGTAGGGCCCCGAACTGGAAAAGTCCGGGGCTCGACGGGCTGCATCATTACTGGCTGAAGGGGTTCGTAGTGTGTCACGCTGTGCTCGCCCGACAGTATCAAGAGGCTCTCGATCAGAAGTCGCTCCCGAGCCTCTTCACTACTGGGATCACTCACTTGGTTCCTAAAGATCAGGATACCACAGACCCGAGCAAATACCGCCCCATCACGTGTCTACCCACTATATATAAGACACTGACATCCATTTTGAGCGCGAGAATCACTCGTCACCTGGAGCTAAATCAGGTGATGTCACGCGCTCAAAATGGATGTCGGGGCGGTGGTCGTGGAACCAAGGAACCACTCCTCATTGACGCGGTCATTGGCAAAGTGGTAAAACGCAACCGTCGGAACTTCTCCGCCGCCTGGATAGACTACAGAAAAGCATTCGACTCGGTGCCCCATGCATGGCTAAAGAGGGTCCTCGAGCTGTACAAGATTGACTGTACAGTTAGAGACTTCCTCGAGCAGTGTATGGGGCAGTGGAGTACGATCCTCTGTTATCAGGGCGAGCGGATGATGGCTGCGGAGAACCACATAAGGATAAGAAGGGGTATCTTCCAGGGCGATTGTCTGAGTCCAATCTGGTTCTGCCTCTCTCTGAACCCTCTCAGTACCTTACTGGAGGGCTCCGGGAGAGGATTTCAGCTACGGAAAGGAGGAACAAAAGTGACCCACCTTTTCTATATGGATGACCTCAAGTTATTCGCCTCCAGTCGCTCCCATCTTATGGAATTGCTAAACATCACTTGTGAATTTAGCAATTCCATTGGAATGGAGCTGGGGACGGATAAGTGTGCGGTCCTTCATGTTGAAAGGGGAAGGGGTTGCCAACTCTGAGGGCATAGATTTATCTATGCCCGTCAACTTAAAGACCCTTTCCGAGGCTGAAACATACCGATACCTGGGTATGTCACAGAACAACGGTATCGATGAGGCTGGTATGAAACAGTCAGTTTGCGACGTGTTTTATGCACGCTTGACCAAAGTGCTTAACAGCCTTTTGTCCGGTGTGAATAAGACACACGCATATAACGGCTGGGTCATGCCTGTCCTCATATATACCTTTGGCATACTCAGGTGGACTCAGACCGAACTTAACGCCCTGGATAGAAAAGTCCGCACTACCATGACGTCCCATAGGATGCATCATCCGAGATCGTCGGTAATGAGGCTGTACTTGCCGCGAAAGCATGGTGGGCGTGGTTTTATGAGCGCGCTCACCATGCATAATCGCGAAGTGTGCAGCCTCCGTGATTACTTCCTGGCGAGATCGGATGATCCATTCTATAATGACGTCATTTCTAGTGATAAAGGGCTTACCCCTCTATCCTTAGCCAACGAGCAATGGCAAGACCCGGCAGTGCAGAGCATTTCCGACCGGGAGACCGTATGGAAGGAGAAGGAGCTCCACGGGAGGTTCTACAAGGCTCTACATGAGCCTTTCGTAGACACAGTAGCCTCCCTCCACTGGCTACGCTTTGGTGATCTCTTCGGGGAAACCGAGGGTTTTGTCTGTGCAATACAGGATCAGGTTATTAAGACCAACAACTATCGGAGATACATCCTAAAGGATGGCACCGTCGACATCTGCCGAGCTTGTCGCCATCCCGGTGAGCCACTTGGGCATGTTATCTCCGGTTGTTCGGCGCTTTCTAACTCTGAGTACTTGCACAGGCACAACCTAGTAGCCAGAATTCTACACCAGGAGCTCGCTCTGAAATACGGTCTCGTGGATCGGAAATTGCCGTATTACAAGTACTTGCCGGAAGCCGTGCTCGAAAATGATCGCGCCAGGCTCTATTGGGACCGGGCCATCATCACAGACAGTACTATTCTTGCGAATAAGCCTGATATTGTGCTGATGGACCGGGCACAGTCAAGGATATTTTTGGTCGACATTACCATTCCGTATGACGAGAACCTCGTGAAAGCCGAAACAGACAAGCAAACAAAATATCTGGACCTGGCTCACGAGGTGACCGACATGTGGGGTGGTCTGCCGGCCGAAATTATTCCTGTAGTCGTCTCTGCAAACGGGCTAATCCCAGTCAGCCTCTCGGGTCATCTGAGGCGGCTGGGACTACGTGGCGGACCGCTCCAGGTTCAAATGCAGAAGGCGGTGCTCCTCGATACCGCCCGCATCGTCCGCCGGTTTCTTTCCCTTTCCCCCTAACCCTCGGCCGTTTGGTCTCCCCTGCCGAGGGCCTCCATCTGGTTGGGCTTTTACTTATTTATGTACTTTTATATTTATTTTATGTTATTGATATTTATGTATATTTATCTTTTCATTTTCATTTATAATTATATATCTATATAACCCAACCAGATGAGAAAACTATATAGATGCCCAACAATAATAATAATAAAATAATAATAATAATAATAAAAATGGCGGACGTTGTCAAAAGTAAATGATGCAGTCAGTATAAAATCTTAAAAATGAATTTTTGTAGCATATGTTTCTAGTTCCCAAATAACAAATTCTCAACGCAAATAGATTTTACAATATCAATATAAATAAAACTTTAAAAATCTGTGGAAAAGAAACTAATTTCAAGAAAAATGTATTTCTTTCAAATTGACAACTGTCATCTAAGAAATTTTACAAACAGATTTATATAATATTTAATTTCACGTTACATTATGCATCGAACGAGACGAAAAATACGAATAAATACCGCCAATACCACAATCGCACACGTAACATCGCCTACGGAGGACTACATATCCATGGAATGTAATCCAAGAGGCACAAGAAGAACCCCCGTACCATCTTTGAGGGGACGAAGAGCGCCAGCCGCTGGCTTGGGACCTGCAGGAATTACCATCCTACATGAGGACCCCGCTACTGATGGTGTAGGTCGACGACGCATGCGCTGGACTAAAGAATTAAATATAAGTGTTATGCGCGCGTACTATAAGGCTACCAAAGGAGGAACCAATCTTACATCTTATCGCTCTAAACTGCTGTTTGAATTCCAACAGCTACAACCCAACCTAACAAACTTAACTGCCCAAAGACTTTCAGATCAAGTACGTGTAATTCTAAGTCGTAAGATTTTGGACGACAGATTAATTGAACAACTTTGCAGTGAGTACTCAACATCTACTATCAATTCAATTCCTAATTCCCAACGAACACTTCCAGGTGAGACTGATGACTTAAATGAAAATAACATTAACCATAATATAAATATTACTAACTTAAATAACGAAAAAAGTAGAGCAAAATTGTTTTGATATAGATGTGAGTTCCAAAGACAGCGAATATATGAAAAGGACTTTCGAATGTTTCCTTCTGGAATATAAAAATACACCAATAGAAAATAGACCGAAACTACCTAAACTTCCTAACAACAAAAAACTTTTCCAACAGTAGCATCAATGAATATTCTTTGTAAAGATTATTTTGAAAAAAGTAACTCTATTTTGGAAACTATGTCTCTTCTATATTGTTGTGCCCATGCTATATGTATGATAATGAAAATTCCTGTCATTTCAGTACAAAATTTTAAGAAAAATAATACAGAACCTAAATGGAAACAAAGAATTCAAAAACGAATTGACAATACTCGCAAAATTATAGGAAAATTAATAAGCTACCAAACAGGTAACAGGCGTAAAAAAATAATTACTTTAGTAAATCAAATCGCTAATGAAAATGATATTAGCCAATCAGATCCACATTTTCCGGATAAAATTACTGAATTCATTGATACACAAAAACAAAAGTTAAAAGCATGGGCCAACCGTATTAGACGATATTCAGAAAGATCTAAACGGTACTTCCAGAATCGCACATTCGAAAGTAACCAAAAGTGGGTGTATCGGTCTTGGGAGAACACTACAACTAATAGTTGTACTTATGGCAGCCCAAGCTTAAATGAATGTCTAAATTTTTGGAAAAGTATGTGGTCTAACGAAGTTTCTCATAATGAAGGCGAATGGATTCGTGCAATCGAACGTAAGTTTTCTAAATTGGCTAACGTGGGTTCTATTTCAATTACTGCTGAAGATGTACACTCAATTACTCGTAGATTACACAACTGGAAATCACCTGGACCAGATGGTATACATAACTTTTGGCTGAAATGGATAACAAGTAGCCACGTGCGTTTGGCTGCACAGATTAAAGAAGCCATTGAGTGCTGTGAGCTCCCGAGACTTCTTACAACTGGTATTACCCACTTACTATATAAAAATGGAAACACCACGGAACCTAAAAATTACCGACCTATAACATGCCTTTCAACTGTATACAAATTAATAACTGCAATTTTGAATAACAAGATCTATAAACATTTGGAAAATAATAACATTCTTTCAACTGCACAGAACGGATGTCGAAAAGGGTCACGTGGTTGTAAAGAACTTCTTCTCATTGACACTGCTTGGGTGGATTACAAAAAGGCATATGACTCTGTTCCACATTCATGGCTAAAGAGAGTTTTAGAAATATATAAAATAGATGACAAAATTTGTAAGTTTTTAAGTAAATTAATGGGTCAGTGGAACACTGTTCTAAATCTACCAGGTGAGTGGCAAAGTAGTTCGATAGACTCTATAAATATTAAACGGGGTATATTCCAGAGCGATAGTTTGAGCCCAACTTTGTTTTGTTTGGCCCTGAATCCTTTAAGCACTGCTATTGAGGAATCCGGATTAGGGTTTCGGTTTTGAAAAGAAAACTCACCGATCTCACATCTACTATATATGGATGATCTCAAACTATTCACATCAAAAGAGAGTAATCTACTATTATTGTTGAAATTAACACATAGTTTCAACAAAGATATTAGAATGGAATTTGGAATAGATAAATGTGCTGTCATCAACGTAAATAGGGGCAAAATTAAAGATTGTAATAATTTAGCTATTACAAATGACTTACATTTCAGTTCTCTTTCTGAAACAGAAACCTATAAATACTTGGGCATGGCAGAAGCGCTAGGAATTAATGACAAAAATATTAAAGAAAATTCAAAAGTAAAATTTATGTCAAGGTTAAAAAAAAGTTATCAAAAGTCATTTATCCGGCGGAAACAAAATTAGAGCATATAACTCCTGGGTAATACCTAGCCTTCTATATACTTTTGGTGTTACAAGATGGTCTCAAACGGAATTGGATGACTTAGATAGACGAGTCCGTACATTAATGACTACGCACAGAATGCACCACCCACGATCATCTGTCATGAGGTTGTATCTTCCAAGAAAAGATGGTGGACGGGGCTTATTAAACATTAAAAACTTACACAACCGTGAAGTATACAACCTCAGAGACTATTTTATTAAAAAAAGACACATCACACATTCATAATGACGTAGTGATTAATGACAAATCATTAACCCCGCTTAATATGTCGGCAAAGGACTGGCAGAGGCCTCATACTATGTCTATAGATGAACGCAAAAAGGTTTGGAATGACAAACAACTGCATGGTCGATTTTTTAAAGCATTGACTAATCCTTATGTAGACATGGTTGCATCAGTGCATTGGTTACAATTTGGTGACCTTTTTGCAGAAACTGAAGGTTTTATCTGTGCAATACAAGATGAAGTAATTAAAACGAACAACTACCGGAAATACATTTTGAGGGACGGCACAGTTGACGTATGTCGCGCATGTCACCACCCTGGAGAGTCCCTCAGACATGTTATTTCCGGTTGTTCACAACTATCAAATGGTGAGTATTTGCACAGACATAACCAAGTAGCTAGAATAATACACCAACAGCTTGCCATTAAATTTGGCTTTACTCAACTTATTATAAGTATGAACCAAAGCCAGTCCTTGAAAATAGAAGTGTCACGCTGTACTGGGATCGGTCAATTATCACAGACAGGTTTATAGTGGCAAATAAACCTGACATTGTGGTGATAGACCGAACTACACGCAAGGCAATAATAGTGGATATCAGTGTTCCTCATGACGAGAATCTCGTAAAAGCAGAGAATGATAAAAAAATAAAATATATCGACTTGGCCAATGAGATTGTCGCTATGTGGGACGTTGATTCTACTATTATTGTACCAGTAGTTGTATCAGTCAATGGACTTATTGGTAAAAATATGGACGATTATCTGTCCAAGTTAGGTTTGGGCAAATGGCTGAAAGCATTAATTCAAAAATCGGCCTTATTAAATACGGCTCGAATAGTAAGAAGGTTCCTATCTTTGGATGCCTAACTTCACCGATGGCTTAGAATTCCTCGCCGCGGTGGATAATAGCCGAAATAATAATATTATTTATATAGATTGTATTTATATTTGTAATATTATAGTTTTGTGATAATATATGTGATCATATAATAATAATAACAATAAACTTTATTTGCATAATTACATTCCTTTCCTTTACAGTAAGCTTTTTTACAATATGTTTAAAATAAAATAAGCTATGCACAGAGTTGCTTACTTCGGTTACTGCCGGCTGTACTAGGCCGAGCCTGTATCACAGACGGCAGTTCCTTCCCCCATGACACAAAATATATTATATCACTAAATTTAACTTATATTCACCAAAGACAAAACACAATAACAATAACGACAACAAAAGTTAGTTTTATACTAAAGTTAACATTGATATTCCATTATTATTTTTTTTTAAGTACCGCCATAAAAGTTAACATTTTTAGGAAAGGTAAGGTTAGACCACTTATCAAAATACGTATCAAAATACGAATTTTCCAGAAACCTATTACAAATACACAAGTATACAAGAAGTGTACCTACTCAACATCGTTATTTGGCATCTAAAAACATATTTATATATTGTAGTTTTTAAAAAGACGTTAATTCCTATTACTGTTGTATCGTGCATTGTTTATGATCAATTTATATATCATCTTGGTATGTAATAAATACGTTATAAATTAAAAAAAAAACATGCGCAAATATTTTATGATGAACGTGATATAATTATGACAGATGTAAGAGATGACAGAGGGAGATTGAAATAGGTGATCGGCAGCAGCATCTTCCTGATAATAACTCAAAATATTAAAAAAACTCTGGTTGCCAATCCGCCTGCCAAGCGTGGCGGCTATGCACACATTCATCCCCAGAAGCAACGTATGGGGGGTAGGCTTATGTACGGCAGTGGTCACTTGTAGTCTGTAATGGATAGATAACATAATATAGACAAGCTTTTAAATAAAATAAGGTCACAATAAAGGTTTATATTTTTTTTGTTGATTAAACATTTATAAGTTGGGTAATTTTTTTAATAATAAGGTAATTAGATTAAACCCATTAACAATACCCGCGATTTAATTAATTATAATGAAATAAGAATTTCCCTTCACAATGAAACATTGCAATGCGCAAAACATTCTCGTTGGTAATTCTCAAACCAAAATGTATGCATAGGGACTAAAAGAAAATTAATTTCGTTACGACAGGCACGTATTGACGTTTGGTGTAAGTGAAAGGTGGAAGCGTTGCTTTGTTGTGAAAGATAATATCATGGGAAAACCTGTATTCATTCATTCATTACAGCCGTTTATACTTATGCTATGCTATTTCAGTTACTTAGGTATTACTGCGCATATCCTTATTTCTAAGTCTGCAGAGACATAACCTACATAACTGACATAACCCTCTCCATAGCTCTCTGAGTGACCTTGAGCTTCCTGAGGCGGCCAAACCTGAATATATGAACAAAATATTTTGGATTCAATATGTACATGTACAATATGTATATACTATAATATATATATATATATATATATATATATATATATATATATATATATATATATATATATATAATAATAATAATAATAATAATAATAATAATGTTTATTGATAAACAAAATATGGTACACACTTATAATCTAATCTTAAGATTAAAGTTTCGGGTAGAACAAACATTTTAAAACAATAAAAACTTGAATGCATAAGATGTAGTTTCATTCGAACAAGAAACAAGTTTCACCACTAAAACTGTGAACATTATTAAGAATGTAATTATTTATGTTGTGTATTTAATAGTACAAAATTGAAATTTTAATTTTAATTGAGTAAATCTTAATATTTGGAACATTGGAACGAAAAGTGTACACTATAAGATAAAAATTGCTAGCATTTAAACTAGGCCAAGCCTGTGTCTTAAATGCTAGTTTCTTCCTTTAAGTAAATGAACATAGAATATACACTTAAACGTTTTACAAATTACTACTTTTTAATAACGTGTTAGTAGGTGTTTATAATTATTTAATATTGTTTTATTTTAATTTAAGTTTAAATTTTAGGACTCAGCTCATTTTTTTATTGTAAATAGATCTTCAATGTCGTCATAAGTTTGTGATTTAAGCCAAACTGTCAACTTTTTTTTGCAATTGTATTTGTTAAGCGGATGTATATTAATCATTCGGTTAATTTTATTATATAGAAAAGGACCAATAAAACATTGAAACTTTTTAATAAAGTGAGTCCTAAAGGGAATATTAGGACACACTCTGTCCTTCCTTCGTATTTGGGGTTGTTTTGGGTCGTAAGAGACTTTCTTATGTTGGGATAAGATAGTATCAACTACGTACAGTTGTCTTACCGTCAGCACATCGCACATTGTATACAATTCAGCAGTGGGAAATCGGTATGGTTTAAAAGTCATAACCTTAAGTAACGCGCGTTGGGCCCTTTCAACTCTTATTATATGAGATTTTTTAGCACCTCCCCCACGCTCTTATGCAATATGATATTACGGATTGGGCCATGGCATAGTAGACTGATTTTAAAAGTTCATTGTCAGCAACATGCCGCAATATTTTGAAAATATAAATCAGTTTGCGAATTTTTTCTGATATCATTTTAATTTGTGGTATCCACGTTAGAGTTTGATCCAGAATTACGCCAAGGTACTTTATTGTGGTTGTACGTTCTAATACTATACACTGACATGATGTTATATGTGGATGAATATTATTACAAGTATGGGCTTTAATGTGTATTTCACTAGGAATGCTATTTTGTGCTATAGCAAAAGTAATAAACTTAGTTTTCGATGCATTTAGTGTCAGTATGTTTTTTTTGAAGCCATTGCATTGCCTGTTGCAATCCCATTTCTGCCTTGATTCTAGTTTCCTCCCAAGTTTTACCATGAAAAACTAGTACTGTATCATCGGCAAATGTAAAGATCTTACAATTATTCAAATTAAGATTACATAATTCATTTATGTATATTAAGAAGAGGCTAGGGCCGAGGACGCTGCCTTGTGGCACGCCATAAGTGATGGGAGAATCTAGACTAGTCAGGTCACCAACCTTTACCCTTTGTCTTCTGTGAGAAATATAACTTTCAAACACACATAATGGTTTCCCGCGTATACCTATTTTATGCATTTTATCTAGAAGTATGGATGCAGAGACTGTATCGAAAGCTTTTGCAAGATCTAAGAATACACCTATACATTTATTTTTCTTATCGATTTGCTGAGCAAGATAATCTGATAATCCAGTAACTGCATCAGAAGTACACTGGCCTACTCTAAAACCATATTGATTGTTTGATAGAAGAGCATTCTTTTCCAAAAAACATATTAATCTTTTATTTATTACCTTTTCTATAACTTTTGATAGGGCTGGCAATACTGAGATAGGACGGTAATTGTTGATGCAGTCTCTTGGGCCAGATTTATGTATAGGATGGATAATCGATATTTTAAATATTTGTGGAAATACACCTGTAGTTAAGCATAGGTTCACTATATGTGTTAAGACGGGTACTATATGATTGTTGCAAATTTTTAAAAGTTTGTTGGATATACCGTCCCAACCAGTAGCGCTGTCATTTTTAAGCCCTATAATAATGGCTTTAATTTCTTCACAGGTAGCTTCAAGCATAGTCATGGAATTTGCAGGAGAGGGTGCATTCGAGTTAGATACCGTTCTTTGGTCACTTGTACGTACATTAACTAATTTATTTGCTAAATTTTCCCCAATATTAGCGAAAAAGTTGTTGATATGCTCAACAGAATTTTGAGGAGTGTCACATATACGAAGTAGGTCTTTAGGTATAGCCTTCTGTTTATTTATATGAACAATAGTTTTAATGGTGTCCCAGGTCTTTTTTAGGATTATTAGAATGCTTTTTCAGCTCATTTTGTTCATAGGTTCTTTTTAATCGCTTGAGCAGATCGTTGCAATAATTTTTGTACCTTTTATAAATTGTTTGCATAATTTCATTTTTGGGATCTGCTTTACTTTTAGAGTGCATCCTGTCTCGGTTTCTGATGCAACGTAGCAGCCCTGGTGTGATCCAGGGCTTAAGACAACGAAATCTACGTGGTACTAAGATTCTAGTTGAATGGCTGGCTAGGTAATTTGAGAGAATATTTACGAGTCTCTCAGCAGCCCAATTTGCGTCCATTGACATAAAAATTTCTTCAAAATTGGTTGCATCCAAATCTTTGAGAATTCCTTCGTAATTGACTTTATTCAGTACAAACTCCCTTTTTTGGTAGTTTTTAAATGTTAATTCCAAACATGAAATGACTGCTCTGTGATCTGTGAGCGGTGTATTTAAAACCAAGGTAGTTACTGATCTATTAGTATTTACCATAGAATGGTCAAGGCAGTTTGCTCCTCTAGTTGGGTAAGTATGACCAATGAGAAATCCATGACTCGCAAGTAGGTTTAAATAATCATGCGAATTTTGATCCTCATTGTTAGGCTTTACGTCTATATTTATATCCCCCATTATAATGACATTTTTATAAGACTTGTGTGAGGACAATAGCTTATCCAACGAGTCAATAAATACAGCAATACTTCTCTGAGATGGAGATCTGTATAGGGCAATTATGAGTGTATCAACATTTATTTTTATTATTAGACAACTAGCTCCATCGAAGCTTGGTTCCTCAACAGTACAAGTAAGTCCATCTTTAATATATACAACTAATCCGTCATTTTGGTTTATATTATTTTTAGTATAAAACGAGTCGTAGTTTGGAATCGTTGGAAAATAAGAAGTAATTTTATTCCAAGATTCTGTCAGTATATATATTTCACAATTTAAATTAATTCTAGCAAGTAAAACTTTAAATTCATTAAAGTTGCGATTTATACTTCTGATATTTTGGGTCAATACTTTAAAGGTTTGGTAAGTAGACGTAGAAGTTAATATTGTTTTGCAAGACTCTGGGTCACATAAATAAGACTTTCCGGCTATAATATTATCAATGTCATTTGTAATGTACAAGTTATTTATGCCCTCGAATTTTATTATTTATTTGCAATGACACCAATATCGGCAGTTTGGTGGAAATCAATAAGTTAACTCTATCAGACTTTCTAGTATTTAAGTTAGTTTTAGACGATAAATTAGCTGAGTTTACAAAGATTACTATGAATATGTTAGTGTAAAATTTACTGATTAAGTACGAATTAAAACTTAAACTAAGAAGCATGCAAGTATGTAAAACAAGTATAAGTAAAAATAAAATATAAAAAAATTGAAAGTATTTGTAGCACAATAAGATTATTAATAGTCATTTCATGTTTTTAAGTTTTACCAGGTCTGTTTCACACTTTATTTCAATGTGCGGCGATTCGTCGGTTTTGCGGAGAAAAACTTTCCCGTTGCTCGTCCAACAGTATTTGAATTTGGCAGTTGAAGCAAAATCCCGCGCCAGATACAGTAATCTACGACCTTTATGTGTAAGACCTTCGGATAAATATAAAGGTATAGATGGTCCACCTAAACCTATAAGAGTTGAGTTAAGCCTTTCATTTGGGTGTGTTTTGTTATAAAG